AATAGTATAAATATGAAACGAATAAAATAAGATTTACAATTTTTTTATTTGTCGCGATAAATTCCAGATATTTATGTTGCGGACTGTATATTTATTATGTTTAAACATGCATTTGCTAATTCTTTTTCAATTGACATACAGGTTATATTTAACGCTTCAACTGGATTTTCTAATGATTCTACCTAAATTTGATTCTGTCTTAAAAAGTTTTTAATATAAAAAAAAGATTGCTTAATCTAAAAAATTAATAAAATATTTAGATTATTAATTATATAATCAAAATTAATATTAAATAAAATAATTAAAATACTGAATTAAAATCAAGTGAATATACTGACAAAAATATTAGATGTATACCTTTTTGTTCACAAAGATTAGAGATATATTATCCTTTATATATTGATACATTATCTAAAATTAAAATACTATAAGGTTCAGAAAACAGATTCATTTTTGGCAATTATAAAAAATATACATAAATTTTAGTAAAATAATAAATATATTTTATTATTATTTATAAATAATCATATCAATATATTCTCAATAAAAAATTTAAAATCTTTTGAATTCATTAGATCTTCTTGAATTCTATAAGCTAAAAGTTCATTAATACAAAGTACTCCTTCAATTGTAAACTTTTGATCACATACAATAAAAGTTGCTTATCGTGCTCAACTCTTAATAATACTTTAACTAAATCTTCGTAATAAAGTTTTCTTATTATAAGCTGATTTATCTGCAAGACTAGTTAATTAGCTATATACACTGATATTTGCAATAAATAATCCATTCTTTCAATTTCATTCCTTTTTTTTACAGGTTTTTCTAACTATAAAAAAATGTTAAATCTTAATTTAGAATATAAAATTATATTATTTATACTTTACTAATTTGAGTGTTATAAATATTTTACCATCAGAAAATTTTTTAGATAATTCTAAACTTGAATTAGTAGAAAAAAAAACAAAGTTCTTTAGGTAAATTATGCAAAATTATATATGAATATGAACTTTTAATAATTTATATAAAATAAAATTTTATGTATAGTTTTCGTTATATTAGTATATTTTAATTAATTTTAATAACTGTGAAAAAAGTTGAAAATACCTTATATACTTGATAATATTCTAAACTTTAAAAATATTGAAAAAGAAATACTTTTTCGCAAATTATTAAAAACATGAAGAAAGATTGAAATTGGATTGATTTGTTATCAAACTTCCTTAATGACAAGGGTAGATCAATATGATCTAAAAGCAAATAGTGCTATTGAAGCATTTGTAGCTAAAGCTAAAAAAATAAAAAACTTCAGTTATGTATATACTAAGATCAAGAAAAAGTAGTAAAACGTAAAGCAATAGTTTATAGAAATGCTATTATACGAAATCAAGAAAAAAATATTCAAGTATTATTTGTATATGAATTATTAATATATATTAACAATTTTGATAAAATTTCATTTTTTTTAGGTATCAGAAAATAATTCAGAAATTATATATGCTATTGATCAAGAAAAAAATAAAATTAAAGAATCTTTACAGCAGTATGAATACCATTCACAAGGATACTTAATCTCTGATAATAGATAACATCTTAAATTAGATGAAGATCTAATAATTATTTAGGCATGAACTTTAGTAAATATTTAATTAAATTTAATTATTACTATTTAAATATTATCTAATTTTTATTTAAAATAGGTTAATAAAATGGAAGGTGTTGATAAAAAAAATCCACTGAAGATATCTTTTTTTGATAAAGATCAGTATCAATATCTTCAAATAAATAATTACTAATAAAGATAATAGAAAATAATAATAAATTGGTTGTATCAAGTAAATATTTTTAATTAATTATTTATTAGTTAATTATATTGTATATTTTTTATTATTTTAATTACAGTTATAACTTCAATTACATCTTAAGCAAAGGTTTATCTTCACTTAAAATTGTAATAATCCACATAAAAAAAGTTTCTCTATTCAAATCCAATATTTGTGTATCAACGAAGATGACTTTTAATGATTTCATTTTATTTGCATTTTCCAATGGAGCTTCTAATGGTAAAAGATTTATTATTAAGTCATCATTTGATACTGATGTAGAAGAATATTTACTCAATCAACTTATAGGTGATGTATTTTATTAATGATATATTGATATTTGATTAGATTTAGAAATAATATTAGTAGACTTTGATGAACTTTTTTGAATAATAGTATTTCTTATCATAGAATATTATAA